CATAATAGGATTTCCCACCTTCTTAACAGTCACAGTGGGGGCTAAGTTTCTAACACATAAAACTTGGAGGACCCAATTCACACTTCAGTGAGTTTAGGGGGGACATAATCCAATCCACTGCAATTATGTTTCTTTATATTTTTATCAAACAGATAAATTTTTTTTTATCTGTACTAATAAAGAAGTCTTAGGGGTCGGTCACTGGGAAACGTGTTTTGAAGTTGGCTACCCTAGTTCCAGATAGTCCTCTTAAAACTGGCAGTGGTCCCAGTCTGAACTAGAAAAACACTGGAATATCATGATCATCATCATCATAGTAAAATAATAGGTACTTACTGTAAATGTTTTTCATAGTAAACACTGTAATAACCACTTTATATATCATTTAATTCTCACAACATTCTTATGAGGTGGATATTTCTGAAGAGAAAACTGAGGCTCAGACTGTTAAAGTAAGTTTTTCAATCCTCATAAATTCAGAGTAATAAAGCTGGGACTTGAACACAGATGTCTGCTTCTAAAGCCTACACTTTTAGCCACTGTTCTCTTTATATTCTCCATACTGCTCTTCATTATCATAATGATTTATTCTTCTGCTGCCCTGTTATTTCCCCTTTCAGCTCAAAATGGATGGACTCTGAAGAAAACTTATCATAACTACATAGTAGTTCTGTATATTTGTCAAAGAGTAATTCTTGGGATCGGCCTCCCTACCCAGACACACTCAGCTAAAGAGTTATGTGGTTTCAGATTGAACTCCGCAGAGTTTGAGGGGCTATGAGGACTAGCAATGAGATCCTTAGTGACATGCTCACTTTCCCCCTGCCACCTCATAGTGATAGGGTAAGCCAGGTAGTAGAATTAGCAGGTTAGATCGGTTGATTGTGATCCATTCCTGTATGCTAACTGTTCTAAGACAAGATAAGTACTTACTTACTAAGAGTAAGAGTGTAGAAACTTTAATGTCATTTGACACTTCTGCAACATTTATGTGCACATTCACATTCAGTTGTCTTTTGTGTGTGTGTGTTTTATAGAAGGATAGATTTGCAATGAATTAACAATTTTTTAATAGTTCTTGACTACAGAGTTTGAAAAGCAGTGTTCAAGACTGTAACATCATATGATTGGAAGAGTGCTTTTAATTCATATCCTGAAATTTTGTTTTCTTTTTCCTTCCTAGCCCTGAAATGAAAGAGGCAGTGTTTTGAAACTCTTGTTTTTGATTATTTCATGTTGATGTAATAGCTCAAAAAACCTAGTAGAAAGAATTCATTAGCCTTTTTTGAGTTTGCTGCTTAAATTTGTTTTTTACTCCAACCATGTATGACCGTGAACCTATTATAATTGACGTATATACAGCAAAGTAAATCTAAACTTTTAACTTTTATTTTCTATAAAGAATAGATAAATTTATACCAAATATGAGAGCATGGTTTTCCATTACACTATTCAAATTAGGTATTAATAATTTATATTTGAAATTTGAACTAAGAATCTTAGAAATTTGATATAGGGCCTTATAAAAATCAATTATTATTTATTCATTCATTCAGTAAATATGTATGTCTTTGGACTAAGCACTGGGATTAGAGTGGTAAATTTTAGATATTAGTTACTGGGTAGCTTTCAAGAGCTAAGGTGCATGTAATTCCACTCAGCAAATTTATAATTATAAATAGAGTTATATATTTCCATTTGGAAAAAAAAAATGTTGGGGATTTGGTAAAATTAGTAATGTAAGTAGTAACATAATCTCAGTGTCATGAGATTGAGTATTTAGAGCTTAAATCTCAATTTTTATAATATGTAGTGATAGTGAATAATATAGGTAGGAGTACTGATTATGCAGAGAGGGTATCAGAATAGCACAGCACTTCCATTTCAAACTACTTTAGGCAATGTTTCCCAAATCTGGACGTGTGCTGGAATCATCTGAGATGCTAGGCCTCATGCTTCAGCATTTGCAAATCATGAAGTGTAGTGGGGCAGTGATCAGCTCAGCAATAGGTTTAGTAGTATTTAAACTGTCTTTGACAAACACTTTTTGGAGTGCCTAGCTAGGTCCTGGGAGTACAAAGGTAAAATATACAGAGGGAAAATAGATAAACAGTGATACTTCAGTGTGGTAAATGTAGAGTAGAGGTATGAGATGTAGAATACCTGGCCCAGGTCTCACAGTCTGTAAAAGTTTAACAAATATTAGTTCCCTGTTGGACACTGCACCTCTCCCTGGTATTTTATGTTTAGTTTTGATATATTCTAGCTATTCATTATATGTGATATAAAGTGGACGAAAATTAAATATACTTTTCTGACCACAGTCATATAATGATAGTAGGCTGAGAAATTGAGACAATGTATGTATGGGTATGGTTCTATTCAGGATAAAGTTTAATCTCTGGTTACTGCATTTAGCTGGAAAAATAAGATTATCCAAATCAGTTTAGTGGTGAAAAACCTAAATGATAGTAAACTAGAGAACGGTTAGTGCAACACATATTTCTATTTATTCGTTCATTTGAAAAAAATATTTAATTAATACTTACAGTGTGGCAGGCACTGTTCCAGGCACTGTTTTGGATACAGCAATGAACAAAATGCACAAAAACCCCTGCCCTCATGGAGCATACAATTCAATGAGAAAAACTGAACAAAATATATAAATTAGTTCTTAGTAATAAATGCTACAAAAAACAAAGCAAAGAAGGAAAATAGGATACACGAAGGTGTACTTTTACAAAAATGTTATGTGCACAAACACAGGATACCTCAAAAAGTTTCTAGTGTGGCAGGCACTGTTCCAGGCACTGTTTTGGATACAGCAATGAACAAAATGCACAAAAACCCCTGCCCTCATGGAGCATACAATTCGATGAGAAAAACTGAACAAAATATATAAATTAGTTCTTAGTAATAAATGCTACAAAAAACAAAGCAAAGAAGGAAAATAGGATAAACGAAGGTGTACTTTTACAAAAATGTTATGTGCACAAACACAGGATACCTCAAAAAGTTTCTGGAAAATCTACATGCTTATATATATATTTATACATGTATACACGAGGGTACCTTTAAAAAGTTTTTGGAAAGATTTGCATTATCTTTTAAATCTATTTTCCACAAACTTTTCAAAGTACTTTTGTATATACATGTTTTATATATTTTAAATAGATACAATGTTTAAGTATTAAAGAACAATTGAGTTATTTGCCCTAATATTTGTATTTACTTATAAATTACATTCCTGTACAACTACTAAACTAATTAAATTTTAGTAAAGTTTACTTATTCTTCTTTTAGATAAAACAGATATAATTTAGAAGCTTTAATATTATTTTTCACACATCATAAGAAGGGAAATTTTCACAGGAGGTGATAATGACAATGTGATGACACTGACAGTAATAATAGGTAACTCTTAAAAAAGGTGTACTGTGGGTCAGGTCTGTCCAATTTAAGAATTGTCTAAGGTTAGGTACTTATCACTGTATCTCCATTTTATAGATGTGGAAACTAGGCAAAGAGAGGTTAAGCACCTTGTCCAAGATCACACAGAAAGTAAAGCCAGAGCTGAAATTTATATGCTGGTGGCTTAGTTCCAGATCTGGCACTTTTAACTGTTGCTATTAACCATTAGTATTATTACATACTGCTTATATTGTAGGAGATAGAAGACTTTAAAAAATGGGTAAATAGAAAAGGGGGTAACATCATGAACAATGGGTGAGGAAGAAGACAGATATACTGGCCTTAGAATAAGCATTTAAAAACTGTCTAAGAAATCATAAATGAAAGGTTTACAAAAATTATATGCAGAATTTTTAAGTCATCTATATGATGTACCATAAATAACTTAGCACCAAAGAAACACACCAAAACCATAATATATGACAAGATATTTAGAATGTACTTTTAAAAATTGGTTCTAGAAAATTATTTAGATTTAATAATGAATAACAGCGGGAGAGAGTAGGAAAATTAAATTATCAGAGTCATAGGGCTAATTAGAAGTGGCAAGCTGGTGGCTGATAAACGTGTGTATGGGAGCTTGCATTAGTCCATTTGTGTTGTCTATAACAAAATACCTGAAACTGGGTGATTTATAAAGAAAATGAAATTTATTGCTTAACAGTTTCTGAGGCTGGGAAGTCCAAAGTGCATCTGGTGGTGGCAGCAGTAACCCAGTGTTCTCACATTGCAAGATGGTGGAAGCAGAGAGAGCAAGAAAAAGAGAGTGACAGACAGACTCCCCTCTTCTTTTTAAAGCCCTCAGAACCATGCCCTTGACCACCATTTCTAATCCATTCACTACTGCACGGTCCTACAATCCAATCACCTCTTCAAGGCTCCACCTTTCAATTACCATAATAGGATTTCCCACCCTCTTAACAGTCACTGTGGGGGCTGTTTCTAATACATAAAACTCGGGGGACAAAATTCAAGCTTCAGTGAGTTTTGGGGGGACATAATTCAATCCACTACAGAGCTGTTGTTCAAGAGTTTATCAGCCAAAGTTTCAGAAGAAAATTAAGACCTGCAGGAGATGATTTGAGTGACTGCTTCTTAATTTTCTCAAGGGTTATTTGTAGCTAGTACAATTCTTCATGTATCCTTGAGACATTAATTCATTACATACAGTGGATGCCTCAAGGCTTTAAGATTCTCCCTGGACCTTTTGTTGAAAAGGCCTGGTTAGGATTGTAAGTAAAAACAATACATTCAAGAGACTTATCAGTAGAAACCTAAGAGAATTTTATGACAACTATATATAAAGGATAAAAGAAAAAGTTTTAGGGACCAAGTTATAGGTTAATTTTCAGGAATTCACCTGTATCTTAACTAATTCAATTAAAAATTCCACATGCCGCTATTCAATTATATGATGTGTTAAAATGTTAGAATTTAAGATTTTGGTATTTCATTAAATAAAAAATTTATGATACAACAAGCGAATAGTCTTTGTTATTTATAATCCTACCTATGTATTTTATTTCCAGGGAACCTTTTATTATTTTATCAGGAGGTTTGTCATATGATACTGTAGGAAGAAGACCTTGCTTAACAGTGATGCATGGAAAAAGTACTGCTGTACTAGAAATGGACTATTCAATTGTTGATTTTCTAACGCTGTGTGAAACACCATACCCAAATGGTAAGCTTTTCTTCTTTAAAACTGTTGGGAAAATAGAATAGTTTGGTCAGGGCCCTTGCCTTGGGTCCAGCTGGGTGTGGTGCAGCATCATTTGTAAGCACATTGTGTGTTTGTGTGTGTGTGTGTGTGTGTGTGTGTAGTTAGTGCACATGCACACCAATGTATCTTTTTAGTTTTGTTGCTGTTCTTGTGTTCTTGAGAGAGAGGTACGGGGGTGGGGAGAGAGAGAGGAGAGGAGTGGAGTTTGAGTGAAGCAGGTGGGTGGGTGTCTGCCTGAAGTGTCTGCCCGGTGCAGCCATGCTTTTCAACCTATGGCTCCAGGGAACTTTTGGCTGGTTAGCTAGCTCATAGACCTGCATGAAGGGGTCTGGTGACCCAGCCTGGCATATGAAGCGTTTGTGACCCCGTCTGTGGACGGGCTTGAGGGGTCTTTGAGCTCTAGACCCAGCCCTAGCTCAACAATTGGCCCAGTTGGCAGGATTACTGGCAGGTAAAAGAGCCTGACAACTGGCGTGGTCGAATAGCTTTACAATTGGTGTCATGAACAGGATTAAGAGAGCTAGACAGTTGGAGCTGTGAGGATTCTAAGCCTTAGCCTAGCCAGACAAAACTCATTCTTTATAAATACCTAATATTCAAAACAAAGACTTACATGTTATCTAAGTAGTTTCCTTATCCTATTGTGCTAATTCTTCTGGGGAAGATGCTGCCTTCATAACCTTGCAAATTTTACTTCAGAGGAAATATTTTATTTTTTGTTTAATAAGCTCTGTATTAGTAGTAAATGCCTTTGAAGGATAAACAGTGCTATCTATATTAAGAAGCATCTTAAAGTTCTGTAAAATGCTAGTGTGTTAGTTATGGTTCTCTGGAGAAGCAAAATCAGTATGAGGTACATATATACAGAGAGAGAAATAATGATTGATTGATTGATTGATTTTAAGGAATTGGCTCACACTATTGTGAGGGCTGGCAAGTCTGAAATCTATAGAGCATACTAGGGGACTTGAAATTCAAGATAGAGTTGATGTTGCAATCTTGAGTCCTAAATCTGCAGGTTGGAATCTTAGGCAGTGTTTCTATTTTTCAGTCTTGAGGTAGAATTGCATCCTTTTTGGGAAACGTCAGTCTCTGCCCTTAAGGCCTTCATCTGATTGGATGAGGGTATTAATACCCATTAAGAGGATATTCTACTTTATTCAGAGTCTACTGATTTAAATATTAATATTAATCACATCTAAAAAAAAAAAAAAAAAAAAAAACCTTTACAGCAACACCTAGACTTGTTTTGACCAAACAGCTCGAGGCACCATAGCATAGACAAATTGACACATAAAATTAACCCTCATAGTTAGCATATATAATTGAAGAGGGATTTAAGTCTAATCTTTTTTATTTCAGTTGAAGTTCATTGTTCTGTAAAGATAAAATGCATTTTATAGTTAACAGACACATAAAAAACATACAAGAAAGATATTATAATATTATAATAGAACTTTATTGGGTTCCTATGAGATCTGATAATGATACTCATTCTTATGGGTATTCAGATTTAAATTTTAGTTTTGTTTTCTATGTCCAGCCTTGGAATTTGCATTACCACAGAAGATACTGTGAACTTTTTACCTTATTCATCTTTACAAAAGTGAAATCTTGTTTAGTGGGTTATTAAATAGATTTATCTCATCTAAAACATACTAGCCTTAAATTACATGAAGTATCTTAGGGTCAGAATGTTAAATACTTGAGAAAATAAAACAAAGTGAAGTAAAAACTAAACAGGAAATGTTTATCACCTGATTTGCTGTTCTTTGCATCTTTGTATATTGTTCTCCTATTCCAGATTTTCAAGAACCATATGCTGTTGTTGTGCTTCTAGAAAAGGATTTAGTACTTATAGACCTTGCACAGAATGGGTAAGAAATAAAATTTGGTGAGTGATTCTGTCAGTATGTAGTGAGAAAAGATCTCTTTTAGAACAGGATTAGCCCTTTCATTTCCTTGAAAACTCTACATTTATACCCCTAACTTTGACTTCTTTTTAGAGCTCCAGGCCCACATTTCTTATTATTTGCCAAATTTCTCTATTATGTAAAATCTCATCGAATTTCCATTTCTTAAGTCACAATTTGTTGAATTTCTGAAATTTCATATGATTCAAACTGACTTTTGGATGTTCTGGGGCCACACAAAATCAGCATGTCCCAAATTGATCCCATTACAATTTACCTTCAAATAAGCTCTCTTAGTCTCTCTACCTCCATTCACTCTCTGTTGTGCATACCATTGTCAGATTAATTTTACATGTAGTACCAGTCTGGTTAGTCTCCTCTTTAAAGCATGGTTTGCTATTATTTTTTGGTTTGAAAACACTGCAGCGCACTACTTTGAACAGTGATAATTCAGGGTTTATTTCCAACCTGGTCTCTGTCTTCAGAGGTACCTTTTTTCAGAGAAAACTGAACTGTGTGTTAAATAGATATCACACTTCCAAGTCTTATGTGATTCTCAATAGCTGAAACACTCCACTTGTTTTACTACCATCAGAAATCTACATAACTCTGAAAGTTATTCTTTTCTTTTTAAAGTTTTTCCTATCTTCTCTTTACCATATATGTCATATCTGATCTGTAAATCTCTTACCACAGCTTATTTGTAAAAGCCATATTCTGCTTTTTCTTTCATAGATGATAGTATGTTCACTTATAAATTCTTGGAATGGAAGCACATTTTATGAGGGTACCTCAAAAAGTTCATGGAAAAAAATCATATTATCTTTTAATTCTATTTTCCATGAACTTTTGAAGTATCCTTGTCGTCTTTATATCTCTTGAGAAATAATCATAAAGCATGATTTTTGACTGAGTTTACTCATTCAGTATTTCAATATTTCAGTGTTTCTCAGTCAAGGGTGATTTCTCCCCAGAGAATAATTGGCAATGTCTGTGGAGACATTTTTATTGGGAAGGAGGTTTGCTCCTGGCATCCAGTGCATAGAAGACAAAGATATTGCAAAACATCCAGAATGCACAGAACAGTCCCCCACAATAAAGAATTAACTTGCCCAAAATGTGAATAATGCTGAGATTGGAAAGTCTGAGTAGGTGAACAGTATTTTTTACTGATTTTTAGGCAATCCTAAATTCCATTTAACTTAGTATCTGCTACTTGTTAAAATCAATTGTAATGTTTTTTCTTTTTAAAAATAAGACCATTTGAAAATATTATATCTGTATGACAGTTGTAGCATTCTTAATATGATTTTCTTTTATTTTTTCCCCTTAGGTAAGTTTTTCAAATAATTGAGACTTTTCACATATGGTCTGTACTAAGATACACTTAAGTCAAGGAAAATACTATGCAAGTAACCTGTGTCTAGGCATTTTATTTAGGAAAGTAACAATGTATAGTAATAGAATCACTGAGATAAGGAAATACCTGTGTTAGAAAGAAAAAAGTTGCTTGTCATTTTTGTCATGCGTGTTTTTGTTTGTGTTTTGTGTTCTGGCTGGGGAAGGGGGTGGTGATAGTTGGGTTCATTTCGCAGTGTATAAGGGATTTTTCTGAAATTCCTCTCCCATTTTTCAGAATTATTGTCAGCAGTAGATTGATCAATACATCTAATTTTTTAACATTAGCTACTTTGTACTTTTTATATTTTTTCAGCTAGTTTCTGGTTTTCCAGATGTTTTTAAGTAACTATTCTCATTCTAAGGACTTTAGAAAAGAAATATCATTGTGTATTTATATAGGATTTTACTTTAGTTTCATGATTTTTAAAATCATGTTTTGCTTTGTTTAATAAAGTAATTTTGTATCTAGAAAACATTTAAGGTGGAATTTTATTTTAGATATCACTAAAACAAGAGAAACTTCTGTATTAAATATTGGACTTTATGGTTATATATTGGACTAGGTATCATGCTGATGAAGAGAAAAAGAATTGAAACCTTGTATTAGTTCTGCTGATGTAAGGATGAGGTATCTGTTATTGAGAACCGTATAACTTTATGGTTGAGTGCAGTTTAAATTCTGCTACTACTACTTCCTAACTGTCAAGGCTTTGACATATTACTCTCTCTCAGCCTTTGTTCTTCAATAAAATGCCTATTTAAAAAATCATAAATTTGGTGCAAGAAGTCAATGAGATAAATATATGTATATAAAACACTTAACCTAGTGTATGGCACATGATATATACTTGAAACTACAGCCTTTCTGTTTACTATTCTAATTGAGCATCTTTTATTACAGAAGACCTCAATATTCTAAACATATTTACATAAATTAAATCAATTTAATGTCTGCGGTAGACTGTATATTTTTAAGTTTTCATTATTGTGTTAATCATAAGTTATAATTCAGTAAATTAATAAGTATTTTTCTTTTTCCTGTTGTTAAAGATATCCTATATTTGAAAATCCCTACCCTTTGAGTATACATGAATCCCCTGTTACATGTTGTGAATATTTTGCTGATTGTCCTGTGGACCTTATTCCTGCACTTTATTCTGTTGGAGCTAGACAGAAACGTCAAGGTTACAGCAAAAAGGTATTGAACATGAGTTTCAGTATTGAATGTTACATTTTAGCATTTTATATTTATCAACTTGAAGTGTTTTATAATAATAATAACTTTTCTGTAAAAAATATATAGAAAATCATTTTTGAAAGCAAAATATGCTGTTCACTGTTTTCATGTGTGTGTGTGTGTGTGTGTGTATAAAGATACTTCAAAAAATTCATGGAAAGATTATCGTTCAGTTCTATTCTTCCACGGACTTTTTGAAGTAGCCTTGTTTGAAGATGTATGTTATGCTTGCAAGTTGCTTTATACAGTGATCTTTTTTTGTAGGAATGGCCTATCAATGGAGGTAACTGGGGCTTGGGTGCTCAAAGTTACCCAGAAATAATTATTACAGGGTAAGTAAAAGTCTGTTTTCATCAAGTAAATCAATAATAGCTAAACAATTAAGACTACATGAATTTTAATTTATTGGGCAGGTAGAGCTTTCTTTTATGTTGTAACATAATAAGAAATGTTATTATCAAGAACTTACCAATTTACCCTGCTTTTTATCTTTTTACTCATTTTGGTGACTATCTTTTTAAATATCCATTACTTAACTTATAAAAAAGCAAAAAATGTAATTTTTTTTACATTACATTTCTTAACTCATTTGCTTTTCATAGGCATGCTGATGGGTCAGTTAAGTTCTGGGATGCCTCTGCAAGTAAGTATTTGAATATTTATTGTTTGCTATATGTTACACAACCATTGCCTTTATACATCCTGTTTTATAATAATTGCAAAACCAACATTTGTTTTGAAATTTAGGGACTATAAATTTAATGCCAGATTAATCACATGATTTTAGAGTTTTTAATAAAGATGGTTGTAAGAATATTAGTAAATCAAAAATGATTCGAAACAGAAGTATTCAAATCCTTTCTTCAAAATTTCTTCAGACCTTCTCTTCCTAACTCAAAGATAGGAGAAGCAGGAATATATTCCAAAGTAACAAATTTTTAAGAATAATTTTAATGCCTGATTCGCAGTATCACAAAAATTTGTGTTGTCATTGTGAAATATATCTGGTTGTTACATAGTAGCATGTAGGAGCATTTGATAATATTGGTACCTTTTCCAGAGAAAATATGTAGAAAATCATTTTAGGAAGCAAAATATATCCTTTATTATTTTTATTGTATTTAGACTTTTTTTTTAACTCAAAATCTGTATTATTCATTTTTTTCAGATTGTCTAAATCCATCATGGTAGTGGATTTTTTTAAATGAGTGCAACAAGTACACCTTTTTTTGGCCAATGAGTACTACAATGAATATATTGTCTAAATGTACAATAGACTGCTAAAATGTAGACTGAAAAATTAAAATATTGTTTTTATAAATACAGGCTATTTTCCCACATAGTGTGACTGATTAAATATTATCTTTTATTTGGTCTTTTTGTATTAAACTGTCTAACATATATTTTTTCTAGTAACTCTGCAAGTATTATATAAACTAAAGACATCTAAAGTATTTGAAAAGTCGAGAAATAAAGATGACAGGCCAAACACAGATATTGTGGATGAAGATCCATATGCCATTCAGATCATCTCCTGGTGTCCAGAAAGTAGAATGCTGTGCATAGCAGGAGTTTCAGCTCATGTCATTATTTATAGATTTAGCAAACAGGAAGTGATTACAGAAGTCATTCCGGTAATAGTCTCTTAATTATTTTTAATGGCGAGTGTCTGATATTTTTAAATTTGTGAATTATTTAGAAGACTATGTGCAATTGGTTTTGTATTGAATTCTTAAAAACACCTCAGTATTTACATTGCCATATCTCTTTCATGAAAAATAGCATTTTTTCCTATATCTTTTTTACTGAATATTTAAATCCTTAAGTACACTGTATGTTTCATTTAAGGAAAGGTAATATAAGTATAAGTATACTCTAATTTGGTATTAACAGGAGTGTCATAAGTTCTAAAATCATAATTCCTGTTTGTGTACTCCTCCACATACACACATACATTTTTAAACAGCTGAATCAGAAACTTTTTTTTCCTTGCTAAATTCTTACCTTTAGAATTCTTGCTAAATTTTTATCTTCAAAAATATTCTTTCCATTCAAGTTTATGTGTATGTATGTAAATTGTAATAAAAAGAGCAGTAATTATTAGGAGTAGGTAAACTGCCTTACTTTTACAACAGATGCTTGAAGTTCGGTTGTTATATGAAATAAATGATGTGGAATCTCCAGAGGGTGAGCAGGCACCACCTTTGCCAACACCTGTGGGAGGTTCCAATCCTCAGCCCATTCCTCCTCAATCACATCCATCTACCAGTAGCAGTTCATCTGATGGGCTTCGTGACAATGTACCTTGTTTAAAGTAAGTTTTAAAAAAATCACCGAGTGATTTCATGTATTATCTTTTAATTCAAATGAATTAAAAGCATTAGTAAAGCTGCAGTAACATTTTCCTTTGATGGAGTAAAATGGCATAAGAATGGCTCTTCCTTTGTTTTACTGTGGTTGATCCAACACATTTTTCTATAGGATCAAGAGAAATATGATTGCATTCCATGATTTTATCCTTAAAATGGTAAGGTTTGATCTCCAAACATACTAGTAAGCAGCAAAACCTTTCCTCTATATATCATTCAATCTTCTAGATTCATTGATGTTTTTAGTCTGGATTTATATGTAGATCAGATTTATGTTCAGACTGCTTTCTACCACTCAGAAAATTTTGAGTTTTTTAGTCTTTAAATTAGAGACATAATCATTTTCTTATCTTTTCTGAATTTCCTCTAGCACTACAGTATCTTTATTTAAAAACCTTTATTGTAGCATTCCAGATTTAAAAACATCTTGCTTTTTATACAGGGATAAATTGGGTAAAGTTTACTTTTTCTTTTTTTTCTGTCCAGATTATATTATTGAGTAGCTAATTTTTTTTAAAAAGATATAGGAAGATAAATAAAACAATAGGTAAAGAGTTAAAATTATTGAAGTACATCTTGCTTTTTATACAGGGATAAATTGGGTAAAGTTTACTTTTTCTTTTTTTTCTGTCCAGATTATATTATTGAGTAGCTAATTTTTTTAAAAAGATATAGGAAGATAAATAAAACAATAGGTAAAGAGTTAAAATTATTGAAGAATTACATGAAGAATATGCTACTGAAAGTATTACATTTATGGACAAGTCAATTAGGATAACGACTGAAAAGTGGTTCTGGAAGAGGTCAGAGAGGTTCAGTAGAATGTTGGGAGGCAAAAGCCAGACTGTAGTAGGTTCAAGGAAAGGAAGGTGGTAAGTTAAAGAGAGAATTTGCATTTATTATAAAAGAATCAGGCTTTGCACTATTTTTCTTTGGATCTGCTAGAATCTTTTCTATTGGTGAGTGGTTTAACAATTACCATGAAGAATGTCTGTGTAATCAGAAATGCACTCACACCAAAGATGAGCCAGACAGATTTTTTTATATCACAATAATTCAAAAAGTACAGATTTAAAGAAATTCTTGGACTGCCCGGTTAGGTCAGTTGGTTAGAGTGTGGTGTAAGAACACCGAGGTTAAAGGTTCAGATCCCTATACTGTCCAGCCACTGGAAAAAAAAAAAAATCTTTATGTGTTTACAAAAACTTGAGATTGTGTATTTTGCTTCTCAACTCTGGATGATTTTATCCAGGGGATATTTGACACTGTCTGGAGGCATTGTAAATTTTTACTCCAGAGGGAACGGAGACGATGTTGACATTTAGTGGGTAGAAGCCAGGGACAATGCTGTATATTCTACAATGTACAGGACAACACCCACAACGAAGAATTACCCAGCTGAAAATGTCAGTAATGCCAAGGATGAGAAACTCTAAACAATGTAAGCATTGAGGTTAAGCAGCTACATTTCGCAGAAAGATCTCGAGGGTTTCCTCCGTCTTTCTACCTCCTCCATTCCTTTCTCTGTCTTTCTCTCCCCTCCCCACCCGCTCTCTCTCTCTTGCACACACCTTCTTTTAGCTACATTCCAGCATGTTTAGCCAGAATGAGACTTTCAAATACAGAAGTCTACATTTTTCTCTTTTGTTACTTACTCAGTACTACTTTACACTGAAATTTGTAAAAGTTCTATTAATACCCTTTCTTCTAATTTAAATGTGTTTTTTCCCCAGTTCCTTGTAAAATTCAGAGTTTATAAATATATAAATTACGATTAGTCTTATGGGCATTTTTTGTAACATATTTCTGTATTTCTTTAGCAGTTTTATCAACTACTGAAGTGGCATTTTAACAATATAACAACTCTATATAAACATACATTGTCTTCAACAAAATTAGAATACTTTAATTTGTACTTTATCGTTTCTTACAACTCCAAATGTTCATAGGCTTGTGGCCACAAATCCAGCAGTCTAAAACATTAAATCATTTTCCTACTTTTCGAGTAAGCACTATCAGTGCATTGCTTTCTGCTGACAAGCTATGTCAGAGGAAATAGTACTGACAGGAGAAGCCATGCTATATGGATCAGAGTGACAAGACCTTTTACCTTGGCTTTCTAGGTTAAAGTTAGAGGCAAGTCTAATAGATGAATCTTTGTCTTCTGTTCTTCGAAAGGCCTTTTTCTAGTTTTTTACTGATTGAAAGAAGGGGAATAGTTAAGTGGGCAACCAGGGGCAACTTTTAAAACCACCAGCCAGCAAACCAAAACACAGAATTCTGCAATATTTAAATTCATTTAAAAGGTAATATCAGCTTAGTTCTGGAACCGTGAGTTTTCTTTACTGTTCATGGACCTAAGATCATTGTATGGCTATCTTTATTGGTCAGGAGGACATTTCATACCAGTGATGGAATGTTTTGGCACACTATTAATCTTTTGCAATATTTAGTAGAATATCCCTTAATTTAGGGATGCCTTTTAAGCTGGTGGTTTCAAGGGAGTCTCTAAAGCCAGAAAGTCTCATTAGCCAATCTGTTAATGTATGGAGGAGAGTCCTTTTTTGTTGTTGACGTTAACTGTTAACTTTTATGTATGGATATACTTTGCCTATCCTGGGAATATACATATAAACAGATTTTTTTCTGATTCTTAAGAAAAATTAATGTGACTATGATTTGATGATAATGTTCTTTCTCTCCCTTTTGAATATCATCATGGATTCCTAGATTTGGGTTTTTTTTTTTACAGGCAGTTTGTTTTATTTTATTTATTTATTTTTTTGTCTTTTTTCGTGACCGGCAACGGATTGCAACCCTCAGTGTCACGCCCATACCGGACCGGGACCGGCAACGGGATTGCAACCCTCGGTGTTGCGCCCGCACCTTGCTCAGCCAGTGAGCGGCCAGTCTGTATGTGGGATCCGAACCCTCGGCGGGAGCACCACCGCGCTCCCAAGCAGCGCACTGTAGCAGTGCGCCACCGGGCCAGCCCCACAGGCAGTTTGTTTTAACTCATTGAATTTGATTAACTTAATGTGATTTTGTCACACTTTGCTAGAGGGAGCCTTTTATTTATTTTTTATTTTTTATTTATTTTTGTCTTTTTTTGTGACCGGTGAGGGGATCGCAACCCTTGGCTTGGTGTCGCCTGCACCGCGCTCAGCCAGTGAGCGCACCGGCCATCCCATATAGGATCCGAACCCACGGTGGGAGCACCGCTGCGCTCCCAGTGCCGCATTCTCCCGAGTGCACCATGGGGCCGGCCCAGAGGGAGCCTTTTATATCTTGATGTCTGAGTCTTCTCACCACCACCTCAGAACTTTTGTGACCATCTTTGGTTTCTCTTAACAAGGTATTCTAGACTTGCCTGAACTCCTTCTGGCCTCTCAAGTGGAATCAGCTTCTCAAAGAAGCCCGGGTTCCTTTTAGTGGTAAATAGAATAACAGAACAAAATATGATTTCTAGAAATGTATGTAATGTTTTTAATAAGCACTATCTTCGTACAGTATGTGTATGCCACCCAGTGACAAGATCTAGAAAAAAAAAAAAAGATTTTTTAAAAACATAATTAAAACCCTTATACTTTTCATTGAATTTTCATATTACTCTATAATGTAACTCGTTAACTTTTTTTCAACCTCTTCCCTAAACCACTTTAATTTGAGCAACCTGGAATTATTCCTTTAACTATTATATTCATTAACAAAAATAAGTCCAAGATTATAATAAAATTATTATTAACAGTAAAACTACTAAATGAATAATAAAATATAACATTTTATTGTTTTATAGAGCTTACAGCACATCTCTCAAGTGATGTGTAATCAAATTACTTTGCATATGGTTATGCTTTGCCTGTCCTGGGAATATTCATATAAATAATTTTTTTCTTAATCCTAAGAAAAATTTGATAATAATTTTCTTTCTTTCCCTTTTGAATATCATTATGGACTCCTAGGTTTTTTTTACAGGCAATTTTTTTTAACTTATTCAATTTGATTAACTTAATATGATTTTGTAACACTTTGCTAGAGAATCCTTTTTCTGAGTTGGTGTTTAAGTCTTTTCAGCACCATCTCAGAACTTTTATGACCATCCTTGATTTATGTTGAATCACTTGTAATAATTTTTTTCCTACTATGGTTATTTATACACTAACTTAATATATAATTAAATTTTATAAGCTCATTTGATTTCAAGACTGTTGATGTTTTAACTGATAGCTCTTCTTGGAAGCAGCATTTGGTATTAGATAGAGGTAAACTGTCCTATTGCTGTATTGTATAAAATGGATGGAACTCTCAAGCAGTTTGGACTTTAAAAACATATATAAGAGATACAGCAAAAATCTGGTCACCTGTTATTGCTTATTGGGATCTACAAAGCAGCCCAATAATTATACTTCTCTTTCCCTATCTGTATTCTTACCACATTAAGAAATAAAGTAATTTCAGGTGGTGACTAAAAATATCACCTTAATTATTGATAAAGGTATGTCAGCTAGCATAAGAGCCAGGTGGGATTCCTGATACTGACTGACCTACATACTGAGGCAGCCTTATCCTTCCAGTCATGCAGCATTAAGCGTCCTACCTTTGCAGGAGAAAAGCAAATGCTTCCACTGGAGGACTTGCTCCAAAATGGACAAAGGACGAGGGTGAAATAAGTAGGCCTTGTTAATTATTTCCATATTTACCAGCTACATAAGGCACTCCACTTTGCCCTAGGGTTAGAAAGGGGGCACTCTCTAGAGTTAGAAAGGGGGTAGAGAGAGGCCCAGGAATTCCACTAACATTCAATACCAGGAGATTGGAGAAGCATTTCTGCTAACTTGACTCTATGTGTGTATGTGTGTGTAAACTTTGAATGCCCGATTTTTTTTCTTTGATTTAATGAGTAGAAATTCTTACTAACTTTAATATATGATGTCATGTATGGCTATATTAAAAAATAAATTTAAATTACAACATTACTTAAAGTTTTAAGACCTGAACTTTTAACATATAAATATAAATGAGTTATAATAAAGTGTATCATAAAGTAATGACTCTACTGACACGGTTCGTTAGATCACTTATTTTGGGATTTAGATAAAACACCAGAATAAGAATGTATAGGAAGACTGTAAACAGGGATTATGCGGTAACTCTATTTCCTTTTTTTTTTTCTTTAGCCGTTATCTTAAAATTAACTTACAGTCTGGATAATTCTTTCGTATTACCTTACCAAAGAACCAATTTTTAGAGAGAGAGTCACAATCTGTATTCAGGGATATATTAGACAGGGGTAACTGTTCTCTTAGTAGAATTTTATGTAAGCACTGAAAGATATAAAATACAGGTTTTTGAGACTTTTGTCTAAAATCCATATATTCATTAGTGATTCTTTTTTTTAAATCACGAGCGGTTTGAACCTCATTTTTAACCTTTTAGTAGTTGTCAGGTAAATGCAGATACTTATTAACTTAAAACTACTTGTTTTAGTCCACAGTCCCAAAGGCCAGTTTATAAAAATAAGAAATAAAACAAAAACTGTTGTTAAAATATAATTGATATTGAGGTTCTTTTTTTTTCATATAAAATTCCTTTGTACATAATTTGTTTTTGTGAAGAAATGTTGTATAATCAGCTCGTTGATTTACTTCCTTTACCAATGAAACTTTATGTTTTTATTTAAGTATTTAAATTGCTATTTTCTCCTTGTGTGAATTAGGTGTAGAAGGTAAGGTTCAAGGAAGTGGTCTCCCTCCCTCTGGCATATTAAATGTGCACATTAGATTCTCAGGAGCAGAAACAGGCATTCCTTTGCAGTGGTCCCTTTGCAAGGTATTTATCCAAACAGTTAATCATTTTGAAACTGGAAGGCCTCCAAATATCACTTTAGCATTTAAAATACGTTTGTACAGATTATGGAGCTTTATATAAAGATTCAACATCTTGTCTTTAAAAAGTAAACAAATTAACTTAAATACATTAATAACTTAATAACTTAATATAGACAAAAAACATAGCACCCCCTTCCCATTTTATATTTTTAAAATCTAACTTACATGCTGTCATTTCTTGCTTAGATTTCTAATTTTTTACCAGTTAGGGATTTTGCTTCAGGTTTAGCTGGCTTTTTGTTTTTGCTTAAGAACTTTCGGTTTCTTCATACTAACTAAAATAAGAATTCCATGAGTTCTGTGTCACTTAAGTCTTAAATGTGCCCATATGTGCACTTACAAAATTATCTCTGGAATGCCTGTTCCTGTTCTTGAGAATCTAATCTAAAGTGTACATTTAATATGCCAGAGGGAGGGAGGACACTTTCTTGAACCTTACTTTCTATACCTAATTCGTACAAGGAGAAAATAGCACACTCAGACTCTTCAGCCTATGCCTGTGTCAAGGCTATCTCTAGGGAGAGATGGAATGCCTCGATATTTATTTCTGTCTCTGGTGATGGACCACTGCAGCTGATTAGTGGGTATTTCCTTGAGAAGAATTCAGAAATTTTGCCTCAGCCAGTGTACAGTTCTGAGTGCATTGCCTTGAAAATCTTGCATATCTCAAAGTGACTATGGCTCAAATCATATTAGGAGTACCCTCAATGAATCACATTTACCCTGAAGCCTGGAAAATCTACTCTTACTTAGCAAATATGTCACCAAAAGGTCAGGTGTCATGATCTTCATCACTACAAGTACTAACTAAATGATTCAAGCGTTCTTACCTCTGAGTTTGGGGTCAGGAGATTCAACATTGAGTAGTCTTTCTGCTGTCCTTCATTCATACGCTGTTACTCCAAGGCAGAAGCCTCACAAATAGTTGAAGTAACCAGGCTTTATATATATGTTTTGTGGGAGCAATTATTGGAGAAAGATTCTGTGCAATCAAAACAATTTTTTAACTTAAAGTCGCAGTAGATTCTTTTTATAGTAAAAATAGTCAAACAAAAATAAATTGTTCATCGTTTTTAAAATATGTTTTGTGGGAGCAATTATTGGAGAAAGATTCTGTGCAATCAAAACAATTTTTTAACTTAAAGTTGCAGTAGATTCTTTTTATAGTAAAAATAGTCAAACAAAAATAAATTGTTCATCGTTTTTAAAAATGTATCTTTTAGGGATATTAGGGAATAATTGGGTAAGGCACACAAAGAATAATTATGATTTGTAATGAACATGCTAATAATATTGATTTGATCCTCATATACTGTACACAAATACTGACAGTCAACTCTGTACCCTATAAATGTGTTTATCAATTATATTTCAATTCAAAAATAAATTAAAAAAGAAAACAATGTATCTTTCAAGTCCACTTGAAGTTTTGTCATACATGTTTAACAGGTACTGTATATAAGTATTTATTCCTCAGAAAGTCTCATACTCTTACAAACACCTCCCTCACTACCACTTTCTAACATACTTATCACAAGTTTAATCAATATAAGCTTAGCATAAATTCTTGAGGTTTGGTAATACATTTAACTGTCTGCTGAGTATCTCTACTTGTAATTTCCAACCATCACCTCAAACTTAATAACCACATATGTATTTTCCTAAAACTATCTCTTCATCCTGACACCTTTATTCTATTTATTTACATATTTTTGACCAAAAATTTAATTACTCTGTCTTCTTTTCCTCCTCTATCCGACCTCTAATTATCCTCCAACTCATTCATTCATTCATTAAAACTTGAGTACTGTCTTTATGCCTGAGTATTGAAAGTGGCTGCAAGGTTTCTGCCTTCCTGAAATTTACAGGCCTTATCAATTCTTACATCATAATGTATTTCAAATCTACCTTTTTATTGTTTTGCATTGGAAGAATCACAGGAACTTCCTAATTGGTCTTCCTATTCTAATTCATCTTGCATATGTCCATCAAATTAATCTTTCCCAAATATATCTTATAAACCTTCACTCTTGTATTAGTCTGTTCGAGTTGCTTATAATAAAATACCTAAAACTGGGTGATCTATAAAGAAAAAGAAATGTATTTCTTTACAGTTTCTGAGGCTGGGAAGTCCAAAGTCCATCTGGGGAGGCACCAGTACTCAAGGGTCCCACATTGCAAGATGGTGGAAGCAGAGAGAGCAGAAAGAGAGCAGAGATAGAGAAGGACAGACTATTCTGTTAAAGCCCTCAGAACCACACCCCTGACCACCATTTTTAACGCATTCACTGTTGCATGGTCCTACAGTCACCTCTTCAAAGGCTCCACCTTTCAACTACCATAATAGAATTTACCACCCTCTTAACAGTCGTAGTGGGGTCTTAGTTTCTAATATGTAAAACTTGGGGGACACAATTCAAGCTTCAATGAGTTTTGGGGGGACATAATTCAATCAACTACAACTGGCTTTTAATTCTTTAATAATAATGAAAATATATTATTTTTGTGTAATTTGACTATCTACAAAGCACTTTCATAGACACTCACAATTTCCTCATAACGTGATTAGGAAGTCATATTCCCACTCTTTAGATGAGAAGACATTTGGTTGGTAAGTGACAGAGACAGGACTCAAACTCCAGCTTTCCCAAGAGCCTAGAGTTCTTTCCACCAACATCAAACCTTTTGCAACCAGGCCTTGAAGACCCTCTAAAGTTAGGCACTGGCCTATTTTGCTGTATTGATTTCTTACTGTCACTGCACACACCTTTCACTGTGACTAAACTTAGACTTACTAATCCTCAAATATGGGTTCCCTGCTTCTTTATCTTGTTTGCATATTTATATATGTTTTCCATGTATATATATATATAGCGCACTATTCAGCAATTATTGGGAGTAGAGTCTGTGCAGTCAAAAATACTATAACCTTGAAGTCAAAGTAGAATTTTTATATAGTAAAAGCAGCCACATACAAAAATAAATGGTTCACATTTGTTTTTAACTCATTCTTTCACTCATGTTTTTGACCAGTTTTTATTTAGTTTAAAATCATGTTTTTAAGTTTTAAGTCTGCTTTGATAATTTGCATTTTTTTCTAACTTGATTTTTTTCTCTCTCTCTCCTTAATTCCTGGGCTGCTCCTTCCCTTCATCCTTCTCCCCATTCCTCTCTGTCCTTCCTTTATCCCTCCCTATTCTTCCTCCTCATTCCTTCCTTTTTCTCCTCCTCCTTCACCCTGGCCATCCTTTCCTACTTTATATGTGGAATTGGTATATGATTTCTTATTTTTGTTTTTTATACATCTGTTCAGGCTCCAACTAGATTAAATGATTCTATAGGGCAGGATTCTTATTTTTACATTTTTAATGTCTACTATAGTTTTATATATAAAGTTATTTGTGTATGGCTATTTATGTATGACTTTATAATTACATCGGCTAAGAATAAAATTGAAAATGGGTTAAACATGTTTTCCTTTCTTTCAGAGTGAAAAACTCACCACTTAAACAGTCTCCAGGTTATCAGACAGAACTAGTTATTCAGTTGGTATGGGTGGGTGGAGAACCACCACAACAAATAACTAGCCTGGCAGTCAATTCTTCATATGGACTGTGAGTACAATTTATGTTTTCCTCGGTCTCTTAATAGTATTTCATATATCATGTTATTTTTAAAAATAGAAAGCATGGTATTAGTTATGTCATCACCTAAAATGTTGTTCTATAACTTTGATTTCAGACCAAATTTAATGTTTACTTGGAACATAATTTTGTTCTGGTTAGTTTACTCTGGGTATGCGTATACTGCTTCCTGATGTACAGTTAAATACCTCATGGGCCAATGAATTATTTGCGATAAAGTTTTAAAGTCAATATATCCTTTCCCGAAAATACTCCCAGAAATAACTTTCTCATTCCTACTCAGTGTAGTGGAGGTCTAACAACATGAAACCAGAAGACTGTGTTATAAACTGAGTCTGTAAATGTTGGTATAGCTGTGTAACTTGTTCTTTCTACTTCCAAAGTTAACTTGTATAAATTATAAAGGCATACCAATAGTTTGGTAAAGTATTCATCTATGCTACAGATATATTTGTTTTATTTATCAGTTCATGCTGTCAAGTAATTATCCATTGCATTACAATAGACTAATAAAGCATTTGTTAGTGTTTTTGTTTTCAGAAATCAACATTGCAGTGTAAGAAACTGCTTACTATCTGTTTAGTCCCGGAGCTATTTGTCATGTGTAGGCCATTGTCTCTTTCTTTCCCTCCTAGGGACTCACTTATCTTTTTTTTTTCCTGGAAGCTATTACCATGTATTAGTCTGTTTCTGTTGCTTATAACAAAATACATGGAACTGGGTTATAAAGAAAACAAAATTTATTGCTTACAGTTTCTGAGGCTGGAAAGTCCAAAGTTGAGTGAACACATCTGGTGAGAGTGTTAGTAGTGGCAATAGTGACAGCAGAGAATCACGTTGTGAAAATGGAGCAGAGAAAGCAAGAGACCAACCTCCTCATTCACTCTCCTTTTAAAGCCCTCAGAACCATGCCCCTGACCGCCATTATTAATCCATTCACTACGGCATGGTCCTAGAATCTAGTCACATCTTCAAGGCCCTACCTTTCAATTACTGTAGTAGGACTTCCCACCCTCTTAACAGTCACAGTATGGGCCAAGTTTCTAATACATAAAGCTTGGGGGATACAATTCAAACTTCAATGAGTTTGGGGGAGACATTTAATCCACTACACACCACCTACTCTATCTTTTGCACTTGTACACCCAACTAACTTGCTGTGGTCTGAGAGTCTTCTCTCATGTCTTTTATTTGTACACCCAACTAACACTGGCTGTAGTCTGAGATAGTCTTCTCTCATGTCTACCCCAAATGCACAAACCTTCTCCTTTTAAATATTTTATTATCTCCCAGTCATAAAGAGAACAGACAGAATAAGAGAAAGAACTAATAGGAAGTTTCAAAGAAAGTTGCAAATCAACTGATCACAGGCCTCAATAGGCTCACAGTTATATTTTGTTTGGCCCTTCCTGTGTATTTTTAAAATTTGAATTAGTTGGCAAGACTAAATAATGTGTAAATCCATTTTTAGAGCTTCAACTGAAAACTATCTGACCCATGTCTGCATTCCTGCCTGACAATAGTCAGTTGAAACTGAGTTGAACTTTTTCCTCTTTAGTTCCATTGCACATTCTTCAAATCACCAAAGTCCTTACCTGGCCTCTTTTACTTACTTATCTAGCCCCTTTATACATGTCAGTTTTTAACTCCTGGCTTAAGAGATCTTAAAAGAATAAAATTGGTTTATAGTTGCTGATTTGTAATTGAGGAGGCATTTCAAACATCCCAAAAGGAGGCCTCTAAGACTTCTACTTTTTATTCTTGACTGTAAGGATTACCAAAACTTTCCTCAATGTATAGTCCCCTATTTTCATAGAAGAAGGAAATGTCTTCCCCTGAGGGGCTCAAAATGCCTTCAAGGAAGAAAAATAGGTGTTACCTTGCCTAGTGTAGGACATGTATATCTCTGATCAAGTTTCCATTCCTTTGCCAAATATTTTTTTATAACTGATGTTGATAAAGTAATTGATTTAATGATGTTAAATAATTAATGTCTGCAGAAGATCTAAACAGTTTCAAGAAAGCGCCTATGTAACCTGTATTTCAACGACCATAGCTGTCTTCTGTTTGAAAGAATTTTCTAAAAGATCCATTATGCTTCTTTCTTCAGCGTTATAGACTATAATGCATTCTCTTGTAATTATTTGTTTGTGCTAAAATGTTTGCTCTTTTACTACTCTCAGGGTGGTTTTTGGCAATTGTAATGGCATTGCTATGGTTGACTACCTCCAGAAAGCAGTGCTGCTCAACCTGGGCACTATTGAATTATATGGCTCTAATGATCCTTATCGGAGAGAACCCAGATCTCCTCGTAAATCTCGACAACCTTCAGGAGGTAAAAAGAAAAGAAAAAGAAAATGATCCTGAGCTTTAGGAGTTCTATAAATGCTGACTTACTGCTACGTATATAAGGACTTCAGTTAGGTAAACGGCTTGCCAGATTTAGTCTGTATATATAAACTGTCATAAACTGGAGAAAGGTATGAGTCTTATTTTTGTGTGTGTGTTGTTACTGATTCTTGCTTTCGTTTTTAATATTTTAATATATAATATTTTAATATTTTTAATATTCTAGGATTATATTTAACATTGAGAAAGAACCACAGGGTCAAACTTCTTCAGCTAAATTATAATAACAGGAATATTTATCTCTTTAAAATAGAACCAGGGATTGAGGACAACCCTGTTTTGGATACAGTTAACTCATTTGCAGAATACCAGTGTGCATTGGAACAGTGTTTGGGAAGCTCTTGTCTATGCTTCCTAACTCAGTCCCTCTGAATTAAAATGCTCTCTGTGATTCATTTTTTAATTGCTCTCTTAACTCATTTGCAGAATACCAGTGTGCATTGGAACAGTGTTTGGGAAGCTCTTGTCTGTGCTTCCTAACTCAGTCCCTCTGAATTAAAATGCTCTCTGTGATTCATTTTTTAATTGCTCTCAGTACATTATTAGCTAATACTACCAATTTTGCAGTTCATGAAAAAAGCAAAAAAAAAGGTGAGGGTATGTAGACCTCTCTGTCACTTTCACTTCATGGTTGAATTTATCTTTTCAAATTTTTTTTTCCATTTTTGTTTGTTGAATGTGATCATTTCGTCATGTAATATCTTCAGCACAGATTGTTGTCCCAACCATACCTTTCTAGAATCTTTGTCTCCTTTTTTTTATTTTCCTTCCCCTTTCATTGCTTCACTAAGGTGCGCTGATAATGACTTCTTGCATGTGCGGCCTTTCTATCTTATATTCTGAGTCTGTGAAAAAACTTCGTTCTTCATATTTAAGTAAGTCATTTATGTCTTGGCATGTTCGTTCTTTGTAAAATTATTGGTTTTCTTCTCATCTGTTTTTAAAAGAGCTTATTAAAGCATTTTATATCTAAAACACTATACTCATTACTTAATCTCATAGTATGTATGTGAAAATGGCTATTTTGCTTGTGTCCCAATCCAATTTCTTTATAAAGCAAAGAAACTAATATTTAGGTAGAAAGAGAGCATTATTATGGCAGAGAGTTTTTTTAGATGAAAAAAACTTTAGATTTTTTTTTTACAAACTTGTAAAAATTATACTAGTCCTAAAATTAATTAATTGCTTTATATCTTATATAGTTTTACATTCAATTGCTAGAAATTAAATACCTAAATTTATCCAAGGGTAGAGACCAATGGTATGTAACATGCAATTTTAAAAATATTTTTTCTTAAATTTCACTGTATCCTACCTTATTCTGTAGTAAACCACATAATATTATTTGTTTCATTTTATATTGAAGAATTAGATTTTTAGGCACAGGAGAACTATTTGAAGTTTCTTAATTAGTGTAAGAAATTAACCCGTTGTTGTTATGATTAGTTTATCGATATATGGGCTATGTTTGAAATAAAATTTAAAGGAAAATTATTTTAAAATATGCTTTGAAATAACATCTTAATATATGTACCTCTAATACCAAAAAGATACTTATTTATATTTAAAATAAAATTAAATATAGAATAATTGTGACTAAATTTCTTTTCATCACATTGACGTAAGAAACAATAATCTTGCTAAAGTGTATTTTATAATATGTTCTTGTGGTATATCTCAAATGTCATCAAATTGTTCTTCATTCTCATTTTGTAGGTCATTTTGAATGGTTAAATTTTTTGCTACTAATAGATGCCAATATATTTTGATAAAAAAAGCTAGTGTCACTCAGGAATTTATTTTATAAGATAAGACTATTTAGGCTAACTTTAAACATGTTATAGCTGTATTGCAATACAATTATACCATTGACTAAAATACAGACTGTGTTTTCATGATAAAAATTATGACACTGTCACAGGGACAAATATTTGTGTGTGTGTGTGTGTGTGTGTGTGTGTGTGTGTGTGTGTGTTATAAGAAATAAAAAATTCTATATGTAAGAAATAAGGGACACAGTCAAGAATGGATAAAAACATTGCATAGAACAATAAGCACTGTGTCAAACTAAGGCTGATTTCCAAATAATTGGAGATATAACAAAGAAATGCTTGTTAGCAATGAAAATATGGTTAAAGAAGGATTAGGACCCCACTGTAAGTATGATTTTAAGTAGTAGTTGAAACACAGGAAGTAGAACTAAATAACTTTGTTTCTCAACTTTCCATTAAGAAGAATGATTTTTTCTTTATGGAAAGTATGGAAACTAATAAATTAAAGCCCAAGCTACTTTATGTAAATGAGGCAGACCAAACGATAATAAAGGGATATGAAGAGAACTCATGAATTTAGAAGGTACCCCCAATAGGTAAAGGTCAAATGCTTTACTAACTCATTATTTTGATGTACAAATTAGTCAGAATTCTAGAATGAGTTGATGCCTTGTGTGCATATAGAAAATAGAAACAGTCAATAGAAGTCAGCAGGAGTTCACTAAAAGTAAGTTGTAGCAAAATCAATTTTACTTTTCTAAACTGGTAAATACATTGGTGTCTTATGGCAGCCTGTTGACATACTGTTTCCTGAAGCCAATAAGGTATTTGATAAAGAATTTCATGACACTTTTGTGTACCAGACATGTGGAAGTAACCGAGTTCTGTTTGACTATCACAAGATTGATTAAACCAGGAGTCAGCAAACCACTCTGCAGACTCAATCTGGCCCACTTCCTGAATTTTTTGAATACAGTTTGTTGGAGCGGCACCATGCATATTTATGTTTATGCATATTTGTTTATGGCTGCTTTTGTGCTACAACATTAGAGCTGCGTAGTTGCAACAGTGATTTTGACTCCAAAAGCCCAAGTTATTTACTGTCTAGACCATTACAGAAAATGTTTGCCTGCCCCATGGTTTAAACTATGGTACCTAGTAGGTTAATTTATGCCTTAATATTAACCATTATGTAGTATGCCTCAGTTAATGGATATATTATGTTGAATAACACATTATTATGTTTTTTTGAGTCTTTTCAGTAGTGAATTAAGCTTCCTATCTGAAAGAGAAGGGTATCAAAAGCTTATCAAAATTATTGCTATTTAAGAGGTAACTACTGCATTTGATGGCAGAGTGAAGACTCAAAAAGATCCAGTATTGGGCCGAGCCCGTGGCGCACTTGGGAGAGTGCGGCGCTGGGAGCACAGCAGCACTCCCGCCGCGGGTTCGGATCCTATATAGGGATGACCGGTGAGCTCACAGCGCTCGCTGGCTGAGCGCGGTGCAGCCGGTCTCAAAAAAAAAAAAAAAGATCCAGTATTTATAGGTAGAAATAGTAAACTTAAACCATGAAAATGAAATTTATCAACAGTAAATGTAAGTCATGTGTTTAGGTTAAGATTGATTGCATAGATATAGAACAGAGAAAATTAGCACAAGAGTAGTTCATGTGAAACATACTTGGAGATTTTGTTAGTTTAGGCAGATCCAAGTTTAAATCTCAGCCCTCTTTTTAAGTATGTGATACTACAGAAGATACTTCTCTGAGTCCCAGTGTCTTCATTTATAAAATGGAGATAAAGTTAGCATATTCATTAAGTGAAATGGCATATACATCATGCCTAATCTGTGACTGGAACATCATTGGCACTCAGTCAAGTGGTTGTTTTATTACTATTGACCATAACCTAATGCATGTCAATGATGTGAGAAAAAGTGCTGAATACAGTAATGTGACAAGTATAGAAGATTTAAAATTATACTTCTATATTCGTTATATTTCCTCCTCATTTTTAAAGCAGGTTAGTTTTTAAAAACTCAATGCCTCAATTTCTTCTCTTGTAAAATGAGAATGATACCGTCTACCTCATTTGCTGCCATAAGAGTTAAATGAGTTAAGCATTTATGCTGGTATTTGGCACATAGTAAGCACTCAGCAAGTGTTGGATATGACCAGCTAGCTAATTGGGTTGGGATACATTTGAGCAGAGCCTGGTTGACTATATTGCTAGCAATATTCGTTGAAGGGATTCTGGCAATAACAAAGAGTGTGGATTAGATTATATGCTATGAAATTCTTTCACATATGTTTACTCAATGATTTAATAAATATTTATCAAGCACCTACCATGTGCTCTGCACCATTATAGACAACAAGACAAAAATCTCTGCCCTCATGGAACTCACATTCTATTGGGAAAGACAGACAATTAAAAAGATAATTAATATATATTAAGTTATATAATAGTGCCAAGTAGAAAAATAATTAAAGGAAGGAGATTTGGAATGTCAGTGATGGGAATCTTAAATCTAAAGTAGAGTATCCAGGTTACTTTGGAGTAAAAATGTAAAGGAATTTAGAGAGCTGTTATCCATGAGGATGTATCGGAAAAGAACATTTCAAGCAAGTCTTAAATCTAAAGTAGAGTATCCAGGTTACTTTGGAGTAAAGGTGTAAAGGAATTTAGAGAGCTGTTATCCATGAGGATGTATCGGAAAAGAACATTTCAAGCAAAAGAATAGCAAGTACAAATTGCTCTGAAACATTACACGTGGTAAGTTCAAGGAACAGTCAGGAGTCAGTGTGGTTTGAGTAGAGAGAGAGAGGGTGGTGGAGAGAAGGTGGAAGAAGGAAAGGAAATAAAGTCAAAGAGAAAACAGGTTATCATGTGTCAGAAGATCATACACACCAATCAACCATGTAAGTTTGGATTTTGACTTTTGTCCTGAGTGACATAGAAGGCATTGAGGGGCTTTTTAGCTCATTTAATGGTCACTGTAATAAATTTAATGTGTAAATTAAATCATATCTATCCACATTCTTTAATTCAGCTTCCTAAATGTTTCTTTCTGGGCCATTTTAAGAATCAGAGTTGTATCATGTAGTACATTTTATACTGTTTAACAGCAGTTGACAAAAATACCAAGGGCTTAAAATTTCAAAATTGATTATTTTTAGTCAGTAGTAGGCACATTATAATATTAGAGCATATTATCACTACTGTTGAGAGATCTGCTAATTTTAGTATTCTAGCAAGAAATAGTTTATTTACATAAACAAATATTTTGTCAAAGATTAAATACATACCTATAATATCCATTGTTTTAGAATGGTAAAAACCAAGTCTTTTCCAGAACCATTATTTTGATGAAGATTTTAAAACCACTGATTCTTATTCAAGAACTTCCTACCTAATGAAGATAAATAATATATAGTTCAAAATAGAAAATGCTTGTTATAAACCCAATTTAATACTCAGTGTTCTCTGAAACTGTTACTGTAAAAACTTTCTTAGTGACTGTAGGGATTGTAACATCATGTCATTTACCAAAGTAATGGAAAAGCAGATGTTGTTCATACATGCACATATGTTGTTGTGATACCTGACTTCTGAGGCTTAGACATGGAACCACTTGTCTATTACCCAGCTAGACCAAACCCCTAATGTGTTTTTTTTATTTGTAATTTTTAACAGTTTGTAGGAATTTTTTTATTTCAGTCACCAGGCAAATTAATATTTATGCTAATTTTTAAAAAAATTTTATTGAAACATTGATTATACATATTTGTTGGGTACAGAGTTATATTTCAATACATGTGTACATGTGTACACTGTGTGATGGTCAAATCAGGGTAATTAACATATTCATTATTATAGAACTTAAATCATTTTTTGTGATGAGGACATTTGATCTCTTCTAGCTATATGATAGCATGCAGTAAATTATTGTTATAATTATAGATGTCTACCTTGACTGTACACAAATAGAATTTATTTTTCCTATCTAGCTGTGTTGTGTCTGTTATCCAACCTCTCACTATCCTCACTCCCTCTCACTCCTAGTAACCACAGTTCTTCCATACTAATTGTTTACTTTGTACTTTACTATAGCTTTTAGTTCTTGTCCATAGCATAAGATGCATTGCTATGGTTTCTGCTAAGAATTTACAGCATCCAGTGAAATAGATCAGTTTTATATAATTCATGTATGTCTGTGAAAAGAAAGTGTTTCTTTAGAATTCTCTAAAAAATGGAATGGTGTGGTTTTTAAGAGGTATAGCCATACAAGATAAGTAATGTACAATATTTTAAATATTGCACATTGGAGATACAAATATTTTTAAATTATTCAAAAATATTTAAAGGAGGTGTTTGAGACATACTTATGGGAAACCACTTTGACATTTGAGTTGAGGGTTGCTATGATATAAAAATTACCAAACTTATTGATAAGTATTTATTCTCCCTCAAAAGAAATTCAATAAGAAATATATCATATGCTCCCACATTACTGATTTTAAACAAAGTCTTGCATTATGTCTAATGTCTTTGAAGAGCAGCAAATTGTCTCTTGGAAATTCTGTTTCCAGCCTATGTTTTTATTTATTTAACTGATGATTACTATATTAGTTCGAGGTATTTTAATATCAAAATGTTCCTATGTTCTGTGAGGCCGGCCCGTGGCTCACTCGGTAGAGTGCGGTGCTGATAACACCAAGGCCACGGGTTCGGATCCTATATAGGGATGGCCGGTTTGCTCACTGGCTGAGCGTGGTGTTGACAAAATGTTCCTATGTTCTATCTCAAACCTAATGGGCAAAAACAGTCTGTTAAACTGCTAGGTTCTTTTAAATGAATAGTAGTTAAATGTGTACTGTAAATATAAGACAAAACTGTACTTACATAATTTTGTGTTGTGATTTGTTTTTGGTTTTGTTTTATAGCAGGTCTCTGTGATATTAGTGAAGGGACTGTAGTTCCAGAGGACCGCTGCAAATCTCCAACTTCTGGTAATTTGTTTTTTATTTTATTTTATTTCATTAATAATTATGATTCTACAGAAACAAACATAATATATCAATGTACCTTTTCTATGCATTTAAAATACGCTAACAAAAAACTTTTGTGTCACATATTTATTCTTAAAATCATAACTGTATTCTTTGCAGTCTGATAAAGTGAGAAGCAGTGGAGCTGGTGCTAGATAAAAATCCAAAGCTTTTACCTGTTAAGAATCATATAATTCTGTGTTGCTTTGCCTCACATGGATTTGTCACCTCTTTTCCCCTGGGTGACGGAGCCGCAAAAGGATTACTCAAAGCCCATCTCTTCCAAGCAGTGAGAAACCCCAGAGGGGTTAATTTCCCAGAACCCTCAAGAGAGAGAGGCATTCCTTCTTTTTGGAAATTAACCACGAACAGGGGTTCTCGCCCTGCGTTTATTCTCCAGACCACGAAATTACAGGAAAAGAACATAGGTGGGGTTATAGTTTAACAATAGAGGCTGGTAGCATCAGTCAAACAAGCAAAGTGACATTCCATAATGCAACTTGCAAAAGGTTGTTGGTCCACCAACAAAAGTTTGATCTTAGCAAACACTGTTTTTCCCTGTAGCAGTTTCCCAGTATCTTTACAGAGCAATCAGTAACTTGTCTGTCCTTGAGCCAGCAACCTTGCTGTGCCACAACTCTCCATCCACATCAGAGACCCTAGCTTGAGGAAAGTTTCCTGTCTTTTGCAAAGTCAACATTTCTATATGTAATTTCAAAAGGTTAGGCTAAACCTGAAACTACAGGTAACTAGGCCCTGTGGAATATATTTGCTTTGTATTATACTCCACAATTCTGTACTTAACACTTTATTAGAGGAAATACATTTTACTCCTCACCAGTAAATCAAATGTTTTAGTTATCTATAATCTTTTCTTTGCTCTGGGCATTCCTGGCATTGTTTAGGAGAACAGGGTAGGATCAAGGAAAAGTTGATGATATCATCTGCTTTCCTCTAGTCCTTGAATAATATCCATTTAAATGTTATGAAAGATTTTTACCAGTTATAATCTAATGTTGACTGTAAACTATCAGAGTAATTATGGACTAGTTAAATTTTTGTTTTTGATCAAAGTAATTTCTGATACATTTATAGCTATATTAAAGAAGTTCTCCAATATTATCCATAATGTGACCTATTTGTATATTAATATTTCAAAGGAACATTATTTCTAGTATCTTTTGAGGCCCCTTAAAATTAAGAAGATCCTGAATTTATTATTTTATTTTAGTGGATTGTAACTTTGCTAATCTTTAATAAAGTTGACTTCATAATTTTAACTACCATGTTTATTAAATCTTTCTGGCTGGGAATTTTTATCAGCTTTCTACAAGAAAGATTGATCTTAGCATAAATAACACTGTGTTTAGACAGGTTTTGGTCCTTCCATAGCTGGTTCTACTACTTCAGAAACAATTTTAAGAATGGGAAATATTGAGAAGGGTATTTTACGTTACTCCCTCACATTTTGAATTAGCATTTTATTAGATCTAAGATTATAAAAGCTTTTGAGATGTTTTCTTTTTACAATTGCATTTTCCTAAAGTTGCACAAGTTGATCATCTTTAAAGTTACAGTGTTTCCACACATTTCCTATTCTTTAAACTTCATACTTAAATTTACTCATTAAACTAATAAGACATACAAAGCCATGGGAATCACTCACATAATTAGTTCCTAATATTAAGTGTTAACATTGGTGGAATAAAGTTTGAATGAATAATATCGAGTGAGTAACTTTTCTATAGGCTAGAGTTACTTCTGAATTTGAAACTTAGAATTGTAATACTTTTTAATTATTACTCTTCTTCTTCCAACTACATACAATACTGTTACGATTTACTCACCTTCTCCAAAGACACGTGAATGCAGTTGTCATTATGTTAGGGATATAAGCCAAAGTGGGTAATTTGGACATATTACATGTAATATATTACATTTAAATATATTAAATGACCATCAGAAGTTTTTTAATAAGATTCAGCCCAAATAAATTAATACTCCTTTTCATCCTAAGCCAAACGTTCAAAAGTTGGGTACATCCAGCAATTTGGAACAACCAAACAAGAGGTAATTGTAGATAAGTGTATATTTAAATCTAAGTATATAAATATAAATAAGTGCATAGAGGTAAAAATCCTCCAAATTCTCTTTTCTTCAAACCAGAGAAACCCAAACATAATTTAACATTTTCCACTATATTTTTTTTTTTTGCTGTTTGGTCCATGTGAAAAACAGTATAGTTTTAATATGAAGAAATTCATATGACACTAGATATTTTATTATTTCCACCTCAGTAATTTTTTTTTTTGTCTTTTTTTTTTTTTTTTGTGAACGGTAAGGGGATCGCAACCCTTGGCTTGGTGTCGTCCACACTGTGCTCAGCCAGTGAGCGCACTGGTTCAGAAGTTTTTTAATAAGATTCAGCCCAAATAAATTAATACTCCTTTTCATCCTAAGCCAAACGTTCAAAAGTTGGGTACATCCAGCAATTTGGAACAACCAAACAAGAGGTAATTGTAGATAAGTGTATATTTAAATCTAAGTATATAAATATAAATAAGTGCATAGAGGTAAAAATCCTCCAAATTCTCTTTTCTTCAAACCAGAGAAACCCAAACATAATTTAACATTTTCCACTATATTTTTTTTTTTTGCTGTTTGGTCCATGTGAAAAACAGTATAGTTTTAATATGAAGAAATTCATATGACACTAGATATTTTATTATTTCCACCTCAGTAATTTTTTTTTTTGTCTTTTTTTTTTTTTTTTGTGAACGGCTGCACCGTGCTCAGCCAGTGAGCGCACCGGGGCCATCCCTATATAGGATCCAAACCCGCGGCGGGAGCGCTGCTGTGCTCCCAGCGCCGCACTCTCCCGAGTGCGCCACGGGGTCGGCCCACACCTCAGTAATTTTGAAATGCAAAGTAAACATGTGACCTCAACAATCACTGATACATCATGAATTCTTGTCTTTAGAGATAGAACTCTGAATTTATTCAGTTTAGTGTTTGGTTATGCTCTGAAAGATATAAGAATTCACATCTATTTTTACATATCAAGAAAGAGACTTCTTTAAAAAAAAAAAAGTCTAACTTTAGTGGGCAATAGTTGTGTCTAAAACATGTTTCAGATAACAGGAGTAAGCGTTTAAGTCATGCGCAAGTGCTAAGAGCACTATAGTAGAGACTAGAAATGAGATTCTGAAAAGCTAACCTATTGACACTGTATTCTTATAGCTATGTGTATATTTCTCTACTTGTCCATTTTAAAGTAGTTAATGGTAATTTTTGCTATCATAGGCTAATTGTCTTACTCTTTACATATTTAGCTTTTTTTGCCTTTGTCCCTATTAGAATACTAATAGGAAAAGAAAGAAATAATTTATTATCACTCCTCTTGTCAACACATGGAGATTCTACTAATTTGGATAGTCTTTAAAAAAGAATAATGTATAGGATGAGTTTGAGGTGAATCAAAAGAGTCACAACAAGATTATGTTATTAAAAACATGAAAATTAGTAATTAAATTACCAGCCACAAATAATTTCCACAGGGAAATAGGATATAAATAAAATATAAAATAATTGATGCATTATAGATTATTTAAACCGATAGAGCTAATATGAAAAAGTATTTATGGGAAAAGAAGAAATGTATAAAAATAGGTTGGGAGTTAAATTGAATTCTTCATATATACTAAGAGAAGAAGTAGCTGTATGCCTTTTATCAAGACCAGTGTGTCTACTTTAATTAATATAAAGAGGAACTTTTTTACAAAGGTTTTAAATCTCACAGTCAAGATTTGTGATCTTAACTATTTAACTAATAAGTACCAAAGCTCTCTTCAGAAATTATTGTGAGAAAATCCAAGTAATGAGTATAATTTACTCTTTCCATTTATTTTTAAATAAACCCATGGTGTCTCTGAAATAGAAAGTTAATTCTGCTTGCTGAACATACACATCCTGAACAAATGAAGGTTATGGCCTCTCGTTGATCTTTATTTCAAAGAACTCAGATTGCTTCACTGAGCACTTCAATAATGTTGGAATTTTTTTAGTACTGCATCTGTATGTGTGTGTGTGTGTGTGTATGTATATATATATCATATTTAAGTGATTAAAAGAAAAAAAAACCATTTGTTAGGTTATTTCAAAGTGAAGAAAACCCAGGGCCACATATGCTATGATATAAATGGTGTCACCTGTGGTTGCTTTGCATCTTAGACATCTATAGCTGCTTGTTTTTCTATGTTTATTTAATTGTAGTACAGTTTGATTTGGTAAATGTATTCAAGCAAAATATGATGAAAACCATTTTAGAACTTTTCCATGAGTTACCACATAATTCATGACAACCAATAGTAGGCAATTTTAGGATAAAAAATAAATCTGCCTTTTAAATTTACATTTACAGCATATGTTGCCTTCCTTCATTTTGAAAATTATCAAGCATTTCTATAATTTTATTATTAGGTATAGATATGTTGCCCTGCTATTGCTCTGATAGAAAATATGTCAAATAAAATTAGTATTAATAATTTATTTTTATACATACATGTGGCTCTTTAGTGTCAGAGAGGATAGTGATATTTTAAAATACATGTAACATATCACAACTATTATATTCTTTAAATCTGAATTGTATTTATATGAAAAACAACTATACTTATTTCTGGAAATGTTACCAAGGTCAGTTTTACGTGTGTGATACTTTTTTAATATGGGATTTATGAGGCTCTTATATGCTCTTTAGCAAAAATAGCATGGATTTTCAGTGAGTAATCATTTAAGACCACCATAGAAGTAATTCAGTCCTGCCAGTGTTGGCAGGTTTTTCTTGGGCAGAGAAGAGATTTCAAGGATCTTTGCCACATGGCCAAAAAAAAGTACTATTTTGGTTGTGGGGGGGGCAGATGTTTGGGGTGTCAAATTTTGACCTAATTTTTTAAGATTCA